TGACAACCTCTGCCCTGCCCGGGCAATTCACACGCCAGGGATGCCTGGGGCTCTACAAGCTCAGGCAGGTTGTGTTGCTCCCCCGTTAAAGCTCGAGGGTTAACTCCAAGGCGAGCCCAGCGAGCCCTGTGTGATCGTCACCAGCACCCACCGCAGCCTCCCAGCCCAGAGCCCCTGCACCCAGGTGGCTGCGTGGCACCTCCAGTTCCTCAGCCCCGCAGGTCAGTGACAGCAACGCCTAAAAACGTGTATTTTCTATTTCCCAGAGCTCCGTGCCCGGCGGCGGGGGGAGCTGAGCGGCTCGGGCGCATTCCCAAACTGCCTCTGCGGGGAGCAGGGACACAGCAGCCGTGCAGCGAACAGCCCTGGGCCTCTTAAAACAGCCTAATCCCTCCCGGTGGAAGCTGTTTATTCTTTTGATTGCCGCATTATTGACTTTCCTTGAAACACCCCGAAGGCAGATCAACTAGCTGCAGCTTCCCGGGAGGGCGGCAGCTTGGCCTTACAGACGCTGCTCCGCGCGACGGTGCGGTGACGGCGACGCTTTGCGTGGGGTTCCCACGACAGAACAGACCTGGCTCTTCGGGCTGCCAGGAGCCCGGTGTCCAGCGGAAAGCCCACCCAGAGGACAGCGTGGGAGGAACCTCTGTGGAACTGAAAGGCTCTTTGGGCGGGAAAAAATGCTTCAAACACCAGAGCAAACCCCCAGAAGAGCCCCTCGGCTTGTATAAATCGGTATCTCTTCAGCAAAGAGGCGGTGGTGTCACGCAGAGCGGCCCAGGCCAGGGGCACATCCCCGCGCAATCACACGGGGAAAGCGCCGCACAAAGCGGAGCTGCTGCCGGCGCTGGCCCTGCAGGCACAGACGTGCCCAGGCACTTACCCACCGACGGAAACGACGATGCCACGAGCTGCAGGAGATGCCTAAAAGCAGATCCCAGTCAAGCGGTCTGTGGCTTCAGCACCTTTGAGTCTCCCTCTTATCAGGGAGGCTGCACCCTGCGCCCCGCAGGCAGCCACTGTGCTGCAGCCAGCCCCAGGCCTGAGCAGGGGGCAAAGCCCCGACTAAAACCTGCTCGCTCCTTCCCTGCTTAACCTCCGCTTCCCAGGCGCCAGCAGCCTCACGCCCTGGCCTCCCCAGCACCCAGCGCCAGCTGGAAACCAACAATTCTCTTTATTTGCTCTGCTCTCTTCCCTTTCTTCCTCTTTTTTTATTTACAGTTATATTATGCATTTATACATACATTGTATTTTCCAGCTTCTGCCCTCTCAACAGTGCTGCAAAAGCTAGAGCTTTACTGTGAGGTAACTACACCCAACTGAAGATTTTTGGCATAACAATTTGGACTGTTGTTTCTGTTTCCTAACTCCACTAAGCATCACTTGACCATGTGAAAAATGACAAGGCCATCAGCTAAGTTTTCTAGGGACTGAGCAATTTGGCAGTAACGTGCAATATTAAATTCCTCTCCTTTACTTGCTTGTCTCAGATATGTCAAACACAGTCATCCACAGAGAAGCAAGCTGCTGTTTCAAAAGGATTTACAGGAGGCTGAACAAGTTTTGGTGGATCAATACGCATTGAGGCAGACTGCTACATTTTACTCTGTTAAATCTAGCAATATCTTTCATGTGACCACTTCAAAATATTTTGCAGCCATTTCACACACAACTCCAGAGGGATGGATAAGCAGCTTTATCTCCACTTCACATATGTGGCCAAAGAGATTAACTTGGTCACATAGCTAATGACAGAAATGAGAGACGAGCCCAGGCGTTTTAATATAAACACATGCTTCTTTCGAGGGAAGAGGCACCACTTTAAATCCAAGGCCAATTTGATCTGTCTCTATACTCTTCCCTTCTACAGGACAAAACAAAAAGGCCACTGGAGAGGGGGGATAGGCGTGCTCTGTGCCACTTCACAGCTCCTCTGATCGAGTTTTACATTTCTCATTAAAACCGCAGCCCTGGGAGGACTCTCCACCCTCTCCCAGAGCAGCTGGGACCTCCTTTCTCACCAGAGCGGGAGGTTAGCAGAACGGCTTTGTTATAAAAGTCACTGCTCCGTGGTGACGCCGAGGGCACAAGAAATGTCAAGGCTGTGCCTAACAGATGACACCGAGCCATCTGGGATTTGGGGGAAACGCTGCTAAATTAGCTGCTGCAGTGCCCTGACGGTTCAGATTTGCGTACAAATCAAAAAACCGCACGCGGCAATTTGTGCTTGATGCGAAGGGTGTGCGAGAGCCCCCCATCACCCCCCCCGTGTCCCGAAAAGACAGCCCAGGACGTCGTTAGTCATCGCCCCTGGTGAGGCAGGGTGGAGGAGCCGGCAGAACGTGCACGGCTGCAGTACACGGGCAGCGCTGGGATCCCACGGGAGCGTGGCCAGATGGGTTTTGAGCTAAACCACGACGCCCCTCCGCGCTCCCTGTCTCCCTGCTCCCCCCCCCGGCGCCCAGGGCCCCGCATCGCCCCGCTCTGCTGCAGCCCGGCTCTCGACCAAAGGCAAAAAATCCACCTTCTCTGCTCGGAGCCCCTCCGCTGCGCCCCACAGAGCCGCAGGGCTGCCCCACGGGGCCGGGGACGGCCACGGCACGGACCCGGCCTCTGCCAACGGCACCGCCGCGCCGGGACTGAAAGGCACCAGCTTGGCGCTGTTAGAGGTACTAAGATTAAAACACTATCTTGACAACTACATCTAACAATACGTTTCCTTCATTTTCCTTTACATGGATTACAAATCTACAGAAAGCCCCACACTGCTGGCTCCGATGGCTGTCGTGCCTTTCGACCAGTGGGATACAGGGAACAGGATCCCCTTCCTCTGGAGCATGCCGAGACCCTTCTCGTCATGCTCTTGCAAAATACACTGAATATGTACAAAACCCTGTTCAGATAAACTGCTCTTCCTGTGGGGTTTTAAAATTAGGGCACTGCGTGTAGCTCACACATCCGATATTTTGTTGTCTTTGGTGAACAGAATATATAATTAGGGGAATTTAGCTGCACAGTGTTGAAGATGCTCTAGTTAAAGTCCCCTGAAGGGATTCCTGGAGTGCAGAAGAAAAGCCATCTGCTGACTCCAGTGGAAGTGTCAGCAAGGAAATAAAGTTGGGAGGAATAAGATAAACAGCCAGAACTCAGCAACTCTCCAGGAAATCAAAGTCCTCAAAACTTCATGAAAATATGTCATTCTTGCTTGAAAAACAAACGAGCGGGCGCGCGTGAGAGAATATACACAAGAGCAGAAACCCGCAGATAAATCAAGGTGCTATCATTTCTTGACGTTCAAATGTCTCCGTGATTGGTTTAATTAGTTTTTTAAATGTGGCTAGATACATCTTAAACAATAAAGAGCACAAAAATAACACACTAAGAATATTTTATCATATCTCAAAATCTCGAAATCATCAGGAGTTTTGCATCAGGCTTACTTTAAATAGTGCTTAGAAGAATAAATGTTAGTGGGTTAGTAAAGGAGATAAACACTCCAGCACATTTTAAAATTATACATTTAGGTAATGAGGAAGCCAGAAGATTAACTCGGTAGTCATAGGTCAGTTATTTATGCGCTCATTGAAGCAACTCTAGCAGGAAGAATCTCTACCTCACGCAATCTCTATCACTATGAAGATGCCTATTAGAGGAAGAAATGGAAATCCCTTCTCTCAAATAATTTAAAAACAGTTGGTAGGAGTCGCTGACACACACGCACGTTCAGTTCCTACCACCACTACAAAACCTGCCGCCAGCAGTTCCCGCCCTGCGGGCGTTCCGTGCGATGAGCCCTTCGGACAGAACTGGGGGGGCACCTTCCCGCGGCAGGCAGGCCCCTCCGCGGGGGCTCAACCGCCTGCGTGGGGCTCACGGCACCGAGGGCAGCTCACGCCTGCTCACACTGACCCAAACCGCACGTAGCAGAAAGAAAAAAAAAAAAAAGTATCTTCTGTTTCAACAACAAAACCAAGGACGTATCTGATCTTCATCAGTGTTGATCCCTTTCAAACGCAGCCCAATCGATGGGCAGGAGGAGACCTCAGGCTCCCCTGCCTTCCCCAGGGCAAATTCCCCTCCAAGGGCTCTGGGCTTGGAGAAGCTCCGGCTGCGGGACGTCCTGCCGCCGGAGCCAGAGCAGACGAAGCCATCGCCTTAACCCCAGGCAAGCACCACGCCTGCGTGGTTCCGAGGGCAGAGCCAGCACACGCCGACAAGCAGGGCTTAGCCTGCTCGTGATACGGTGTGAAAGGGGCAGAAAACGTTCAAGCAATTTCTGGTTTGTAGCTGGTTATCTGACGTGCCTGAACCACGCAGGTCAACCCAGAGTCCTCCACTTGTGCGCTCAGCAAAGTGTTTGGTTCAGGCTGGTTCATGCCCTGCAGTTATAATGAAAAACTCCGTCTTTTTTTCCAGACACTGATGAAAGAAGTTTGTACGTAGCATAAATACGAATCGATTAATTTGTTGTGTGATCATGTGGCCACCATAAAGTTCAGAGGAAGCTGACTCTGAGTGTTGCCCAGGGCAGCTGTGGCTGCCCCCTCCCTGGAAGGGTTCAAGGCCAGGTTGGACGGGGCTGGGAGCCCCCTGGGCTGGGGGAAGGGGGCCCTGCCCGGGGCAGGGGGGGGCACTGGGGGGGCTTTGGGGTCCCTTCCCACCCAAACCAGCCTGTGGTTCTATGACTCCCATACAACAGCAGCTCTAGCTCTGCTCATATAAATGCCTACATCAACCACAGGGGAAGTCAAATGAGTGTGTGCAGCTGGGAAGAAAGAAAAACACCACAGGGAAAAGGAAAAAAAAAAAAAAAATAAAAAAAATTCCAAATTTACAGCACATTTGCAGGCCCCGGTTAAGCGTATTTTCAAAGCCCCAACAAATACGCCTTCATTACCACCACATGAGAGGGCATTCAAGGACCAAACCGTGCTTAAGATTTAGCTGTGAGCTTATCAGTAGAGAAAGGGCAGGATGCATGCAGGGGAGGAAGCACTTACATCAATGAGGTCAGAGACATCGTGGATGTAGTATTTACTGACAGCTGCGTTGGTGGCTGCCAGGTTCAGCAGGTAGTCATTCCTGGCTTTAGTACACTTCAGCTTGTTTTCAGAATATTTGGCTTGTCTCTGAAAAAGCAAAATGGAGTGTCACAGCACAAATAGGATGCTACTTTCACAGCTTCTCTTGCTGCGGGGCCCCACAGCACCCTACAGCCAGGGCGTGATGCGTTAATTAATAAAATTTGGTATCGGGTATGAAAACAGGCACCCTTGCCAGGACGGAGGAGATTGCATCTGAACACCCTTGGTACCATCAGCCAACGCACGACGAGCGCTTTCTGCTCAGATGTACCCAGCGCATCCGAGCACAGCTGCTCTTCCTTTATCTGTGCATTCGTGGAGGTTTTGGCATCCATCAAAATTAGAGGGCCAAATTTTCCTCCCAGAAACGCTGACATACATTTGGACTTGCTCCAGATTTATGCAGCTGTATCAAAGTGGAATCTGGCCCAGAGGCCCAAGCTACAGAATTTAGAACAGGACCCAGAATTCAAAACTCTGTAGGAAAGCAGATGTGCTCAGATCTGGAGCATTTGCTCAGACAGATCACTAGTCTAAAGGTTTAGCACAAAAGATTAACCCTTCAGAAATCGTGCTGCTAGACAATGTCTCAGTGCTGGGACAACGCGTGAGCAAACACATCCTGGCTGAGGAAGCCACTGCTTTTCCTCTGAAATTAACAGAAAAATTACAGTTTTGGAGATCCTGGGGTCTGGGGGGATTTGCTGAAGCCAGAGTGGAGTTAAGTGTTTTGACTAGCAAAGCCAACTAAATGCTGCATTTTAACTCCCAGACCGTCTGTGGAGGAAGAAGCACTGTTATTTTATACATCCGACCCCTTTTGTTGCCTGCCACAAGTCTCCGACTGAAGGAACCCTGGGGCAGCTCTTGTTCACTGTTATAAAACGCGTTTTTGAACCAAGTCAGTCACAAAGAAACCACAGGGCCCGCAGCAGGGTCCTGTGCCTGGGCCAGAAAGCCTCGCCGTGACCGGTGCGGTCAGCGCAGCCGCCCGGGTGCCAGCCGGGGCGCGGCCGAGCCCCGGGCGAGACCCAGGAGCCGCGGCCGGGTACAAGCACGTCCCACGTCCCACCGCCGGCCCCCGCCCCGCTCAGCCCTCCCTCCCGCACGGCTCCCGTGCGGGCCCACCACCCCCCCAGGGCTGCACTGCCCGATATCCCCCCTCCCCATTTCTTGCCGAGCCGCGGCCAGCCCGACTCTGGGTCAAGTCCTGGCTACCGGCCGGTTTTGGCTCTTCTCCACAGCCAGGAAGCAGCGAAGAGGCTCGTCACGGCCTCCCTGGGCTGCCCTTCAGCGAGACGCACACACGAGGCGATGTCCTCCCTAAGCCGTCCCCAGGGACACCGGAATGGCTGCACGGAAACGGACGGGGCTGGAGCCAAAGCCTCCCACCCGCCGGGAGCCCCGACCCCCAGCCTGCCTCCCCCCATCCTTCCCTCGCACCCACCTTCTCCTTCATCTTCTCAATCTTCTTGACGGAGCTCCGCCGCTGAGGCCTGTCCTCGTGCCGCAGCAGGTTCACGCTGATGTCCCCCGACTTGTTGAACTGCTTCTCCTCCTGCTTCTCCGCCTCCTTCAGCTTGCTCTCGGCGCTGATGCTCTCGGCGTGATACATGTGGTAGGTCTTCATCACCTGAGGAGACGCAAGTCTGTGAGTCGCCTGCCCCAGGAGCCATCGGCGCACGAGAAGATGGCAGCGTGGGGAACTCCGCTCTGCCAGGGCTGTCCGAGCCCGCTGTGGCATTAAGGAACGGCAAGGTGGGATGGAAAGGCCCGTAAAACTAACCCCCTCGCTAGCCCTGTCCCAAAACGGTGCAGAGCTGCTGCAAGAACTGTTACCCCTCCTCGGTCCCCGTGGCAGGGACAGGCTGAGATGTGCCTCCAGCACACACCTGCGTCCAAAAACCACCCTGGATCCTCCCACAGGGAAATAACTTCCAGTGCTTTGCAGCTGGGGTAAGGGTCTCCATGACACGAGACTGTGAGGAGGCCAAGGTCAACCTGAAGTTACTTTTGACCCAACCCTTCTGTTCCTACGCTTGAACTTGCGAAGCCAACCCATCAACACAACCCCTGCTCCACCATCCTGACAGCAGGTCCCGTCTTGAAGGTGGAAGAGCTGCAAGTTCCGAGCTGAAACGGAGTTTGTCTCCTGTCACCGCTGAATTCTCCTCTTGCTGCTGCCGGTAAGCAGAGTCAGTGCCAGGGTGGGCTGCAGCAACACCCAGTCCTTCCAGTTCAGGACGGCCTTCAGTAACTGGGCAGAGCGCTGACCTACGGCCGGGCGAACGCCTGCAGGCGAAGCTACCACAGCCTCTCCTTTCCAATACAAAAGCCCAAAGGGCGCACTGTGATCATTTTAATGGAGCCGGCAAGAGGAACACATCTGCTCTTCTCTCTTTATGCCTTTAGTCACGCTGTCCCCTTTTATCACCTCCCTTCAGGATCTGGATGCTTTATTTCACGTTGCCTCGCCAAGGCGCGGGATGCCTGGCCTCCTGCTGCAGGTCGCTCTCACGCAAAGTGCCCGGGCACCGCCGGCAGCGGCACTGGGACGGGCTCGCCTCGGGTTACAGAGGAGCAGGAGCCCACACAAACAGAGGAACTTTGCACAAGCCCTTAATGAGGAAAATACAGAGTTTTCCTCAGCTGCGGTTGTCAGCAGGAACCAGGAGTGTTTAACTTGGATGAGGTTAGGCTGAAACATATGATCTCTGCTCTTGCCAAGCACAAACGTCAGCTGCAAACGAGCTCCAAATGCCGCATCGAAGCCTGCACAAATGTGCCATTGCTGGCAGTTACGATTTTAGGCAACTGGAAGGAATAGTAAGCAAAGGCTTGTGCCTTGCTTCTGAGCTGCTTTATTTCAAAATCCTGCAAATTACAACACAGATTTGAGCCACACATTTCAAACTGCAGTTTCTGAAGTGAACGTCACAGGACACACACAAAACAGACGATTTGGGGTTTTTTTCTTAAGGACAAAGACTAGAGGGCTTCACTGAGCCCTCCTCATATTCAATGTTCCCATCTTTTTGTGAAAAACTCAAGAGGAGAGTGAAAAAGAGAAGTCCTGCACTTCAGTGCAGTTGGGCACTAATGAGAGAGGTTCCTCCAGCACCCAGAGAGGCCCTAATGCAGCGCAAGAGAAAAGCCCACCAATTGAACAGTGGCCCAAACCGCATGACCTTTTTTTTTTTTTGAAATCGAAAGGTTCCGAGGCGGTTGCCTGGCCAGAAAAACTTCAGCACAGCTCATCGGTTGTGCCCGTTCACCCGCGGCGATGCAGCTCTGCAACGTCGGCAGCCGCCGCCACCCGGCACCTTGGCACAGCCTCCTACTGACTGACTTGCTAACGTCGGGAGAAGCTTTCCCTAACAACGGCCCTTTCCCCTCCTCCGTATTTTCTCCCTATTTGAGCCTGAAAAGGTAACCCAGGAACCAGGCTTAAAAGTCCTCTGACAGTCTCTTTAAAGTGCAGAGGACCTAATATCCATTATTTTCCCCAGACTTCAGCGTCCCTGTTGCTTACGCAGATGCCTTTAACAACTTGCTGTGCTGACTGCGCTCCGCATCAGCCGCCATGCCACACAGCTCGCGCTTGGAAATTCGGGGTGTATTTGTTTTAATATCTGCCTCGACTTTGAATGGGGACTACCTGCACTGCAGCAATCAGCACTTTGATCCGCAACTCCCTCGAGCCTTCTCGGCGCCTGCAGTCGAGTCGCACTGGTCCCTGTCTTACACTATTGTGTCACAAAGAAAAACTGCCACAGCTGCGTCCCTGGGATCTTTTCTGCAAATAAGTTAATTAGCTGCAGTGGAGGAAGAAAAATATGTTCCAATGTTCATTGGTTATTTAACAACGCAAGTTGTCTTTTCCAATATTAATAACACGTTCTGGATAAAGGCCATTGCCAAAATACCAGCCATAAATGGCACTGTTTGCTGTCTTCAGCTAGCAGCCCCTTACGTTTCTCAACAGCCCGTCATCACGGCTCTGACCCAGCAGAGGAGGCGGATCAGGAGCTGGGTGACCCGTCTGAAGCGCAGGCTCAGGCCCTCCCGAAGCCGAGGAGACCAAAGGACAAGCCCAGCACACGGGGTGAAGCACAGATGAGCACGGCCAGGGGTGAGAGCCCGGTGAAGACCCCAGCCCGCTCCGCGTCGGATGGAGCCTGTGGCACAACCCAAGGGATGCCCGCAGTGTGAGGTCTAGGGAAGGGACAAATCCATCAGGCCGACGGACGCCGAGCTCCACCTCCCTGCTCTTTTAAGCAAGCATGAAAGCAAACATCATCTTTACAGAGCGTTTCTACGGCGTGGTACGGAGCAGCGTATCAACACGCTCCTACCGTGCGACAGTCGGCGCTGTCTACAGCGTGACCCCTGCAGAAACCCCCCGGCGGCAGGGCTTGCTCCATCGCAGAGCTCCTGAGGGAAAGGACAACTCCCTCCAGCCAGTTCACCTCCTGCTGCACAGGGAGTGGTGACCATTATTGTTATTTTTAACCTGGGTAACTTATCTGTAGATATCATTCTAATACATACTATTAATTTCACAGTTATTAGTCCTCTTCCATAACACCTTGCGACAAAGAACGGCGCTGGTTCACATCACGGTACTTCCACGGGCTTCGGGGTGCTGCCTTCGGCTCAGCCACGTCCCTGCATTATGGCAAGCAAAGCCCGTGCATCAGAGCCCACTGGTAGTGCCACACACCACATCGCCGCCGGAGCTTACAGAAAACACTACCCGAACAGTGCTCCGGGGTTACTGTTTTTCTCACCCTAATATTTTGGCCTGACTTCTTCAGATAGGAACGCATGCAATACAGAAAGGGACCTGCGAGCGGAACCTCCAACCTTTACAGACTCCAACTTGGTATCTGTCTGCTAGAGACTGCAAGCAGGAATCAAAAGAATGGAGCTGGCTTTAATGCACAGCCAAATTATTTCTGTGCTAAACTTCTCACAAGCAACTCCTGCTTCAGAATGAAAGTCATCTACTTCCGTTTTAATTAAAATCAGCATGGTTTTGTGGTTTAGTTTTTTCCACTCAGAGTCCACAAGATGACTTGCATCAGAAGAGCAACAAGGCTGAATTAAAATCGATTTTGTTATTTTGGGTTAAGTTTGAGACAGTGAATTCCTGAGAAGCCTGTAAAAAATTATATAGTTTCCACACAGTGCACAGAATTCCCCTCTGAAGGGCTTAAAAAGCAGCCTGGCCAGGGCACAGACGTACTGTGGATACAAGGCTTGGCCATAGGCAAGATAAACGACTTCCTTGTGTCGACAGCAGACAAATGACATTTTAGAAGCAGCAGCTTGGTGTCCTTTGAGCCAGGGATCCTTATTCTGTATCTGCTTTTGTCAGCAGCCACAGTTATTGAATGTGCTGCTCTCAGATACCCAGCACGTGGCAACGAACACACCAACTCCAGATCAGCCCTGAAGATGCCCCGAAACACCACCAGCACGCTGGATCAACCTGCAAGCCACGTATGCAATTAAGCCTGTTCTACCTGATGCCTCAAGGGCAGAAAACTACTGATCGGAGGGCAGCTGGTTTGCACTGAACAGATCCAAGATGAGCTGGTTTGCCCAACAGGGCCTGGTTTTGTTTCATGTTTCATCAGCGTTTCTGAAATAAGCGTCTCTTCCCTGCTCCTTCCCAGCCAGAGGACACAGTCGGTTTGTTATCTCAGCAGCAAGGTCAGTTCAAAGAAAACACAAAGCTCTTCCAGCCGTTCCAGTCTGTTTCACCACGCAAACACGTTCTGCTCAGCACGCGGGAGCACAGCACTGAACGGGGGGAAATCTCAGCTCCAGGGAAGACGAGTTTTGCCACAGACTCAGCAGGCGCAAAATTGCTCTCCCTGCTCTTCTTGGCCAGCAGCACGCACTTCAGACCTCAGCACACTTCTGATCCTCAAACGGAGCCAACCGTGTCCCGCAGGTGATGCTCCTGTCCCGTGTTTGGGTTCCAAGCACACTGGTCCACAGGTATTAAGGTCAGCCCAGCCCTTGTTAGCCTTTCCTTGTTTTGCATCTGTCACGCTGCTGTTGTAATTAATCTTCATTAGTCACCACCAGTAACACAGATTGTGACATTCAACCACCGACAACACACCCCCAAATCTCACACAGGCTTCTTAATCCAACCTGGCTGTCCACCCACACTGCAGGTCCAACAAAAACTGAATCCTTCAACAAGCAATGCTGAAACAAACCTGCTAAGAGAAGATTTATGGCAGAAATTTCAAAGAGTATCATTCATGCTTTGTTGTTCAGGCCTATTTTTCAAAAAGATGGAATAGAATGATTGTTTAGGAATAAACCTACTGCAGTGTTATTTATGTACCAGTAACAGACACAACCAAAGAAAGCAAATATATCCGCTCAATTTTCCAACACAAGACAGGCTTTATGTTGCTTTGTTGATCCTAAAGCACAAATAAAGTAAAAAAAAAAAAAAAAACCAAAAACAAAACCCAATTGCTACAGGGCAAGAGACAGAAGCAACACAAAGTCTTTTACTGCCCTACTATAAAATCCTGCTTGAAGAGCAATATCCTGAATAACAGTGTACGATTTCACCAGGAGGCAGACAGACAGCTCCGCAACCAAAGTGCTGCTTGGAGCAGGGAGCTGAAGCTGAGCACATTCAGGCTAAAAGTTTTATGCATTTCCCAGCAGAAGATCATGTTCAGCCATCATCCAGAGGCCAGGCTCACGTGAGCAGGCTGGGTTTCAGCCGCAAATCGGCACTGCCAAGCCGGAGCATGACTTCTGAGCCATTAGCGCCTAGCAGAGGTCACCAACCGAGTGAAGACTGGAAGGGGCCCGAAGGCAACGCGGCGCGGAAGGCCCGGCGGGCGAGAGCACTGCAGCGACCGCACCGCACCGTGCCCAAAACATCTCCATTTATGCTGAAGTGGAACAGTTTTGTGGCACGAGCCGCTGCCTGAGGCGGCCGCAGAAGCCCTTCGCGGCAGGACCGCGGGGATGTCCCGCGCTGCTGCCGTCAAAACCAGTGAAGAGTGAAACGTTCCTAACAAAGGCGAGAGGCTGTGTGCAGGATGGCAGGAGGGGGAGCGAGCCTCCAAGTCACCGAAACCCCGAACAGGCATTTTGTTCTAACAAATGACATTGGCTACGTTCCCCTCGCTGCACAGGCCAGGCAGGGGTAGGATCAGCTCAATACCCACCGTGTAAAGCTCGTTGGTGACTTTCAGGAGTTCTTCATGCATCTGTAGGCCAATTTCCTTACTCTGGAAGACAAAAAGAAGAGTGGAGATTCTGTTACGCTCACAACATGCATTTCTGAAAGGAAAATACATTCTGGAGGGAAAAGTAAAACTGTATGACTTCCAAACACTACAGGAAGAAGAAATGAGGTGACAGGTTTTTTCCTGGCTGGCTGACCAAAGGCACACGGAAGGTCTCCAGGGCTGCCAGAGTACCGGTACGGGACACCGTGGCACCCGCAGAAGGAACAGCCTGGGGACACTGGTGAGCTGGTAGGACGGGGAAGCAGTGAGGAGTCGTTCTCCTCTTCTTAAGCCAAGTGACCAACCTGATCCTGACAAAGGCAGAATAACTTGTTCGAGCCCTTCCACCCCGGTGCCCAAGCGGCTCCAGTTCATCCCCAGCGAAGGCTTCCACGCCCATCCCACGGCGGACACCAGCACAGCCACCCCTCCGTGCCGGGAGGGTTTTCCTTCCCCCCTCTCAGCCGGCAGCGCAGCCGCGGACCTTGGCAGCACAGCTGGCTTCAGGTGATGCCCATCTGAAACCCTTCCTGCCGCCTCGGAGACCTGCCCTCCCCTCGCTCCTCTGCCAAACACGAGACTCGCCATTCTTTGCTCTGCAGTGGTGCTAACAAAGCCACGTACATTTTAATTATTATTTAAAAAAAAAAAAAAAAAAACAAACAACAAACAAAACAGCCCCGCAGCATGAGAAATGCCCCAGGAGCCTTATTTACACCACTTCAGAAATCCTGTCTAATGTCCCTCCTGCTCTGGGGGCTGAAAGGACAGCATCAACAGGGCTGCCAATCCACATCTGGGCTCATTTTTTTTTCCATTTCTAAGCATTAAGACCAAAATACAGGATGGCCTCCTCTTCCAATCTGCCGGTGACAGTGAAGTTTAAAAGTAAACTGGCATTTTGATTTCCTTTAATTTTCTACAAATCCTTAAGAAAATAAAATGCGTGATTATAAACATGAATACATACAGTACAGCAAATCCCCACGCTATTTCAGAATTGCTGCATTTCCATTTGAGGTCAATGTTTGCCCACGGATCACCCAACCTGGGTTTCAGAGACCATGATGAGGAACATCACACAATTAAATTTATTTATCCTGCAAACGCACTGGGATGAATCTAGAATTACAGACAATATCGCTTTGCCCTTCCACTGGCAGCATTTATCTCCAGCCCACAGTCAACTCACTGTGCGGATCTAACACGTAACACCCTACCCCCCTACCCGGCCCCCCCCCGGCCATTTTGGGGACTCATTTCACATTAAGGCTGGCAGAGTGCACAAAAGCTGGACTTGGTCCATAGCCAGAAGTGTTTTATAGCTTGACTTGGCCCATTTTTCAACAAAACCTGTGTTACTGGATGCGGGTGAGTGGCTGTTGCACTCTCCACACTGAGCTGGCTGCGTGTTAGTGGTACATTAACTCCTCTGTATAACTTAAGTTATACAATAAATGTTCGCGGGTACACAAATCGCTTAGATTTGCATCCTCCAGTCATACTGTATCACTTGCCAATCTATCTGGATTTGATAGATTCATTAGACACCTGTAGCTAGACTTGCAATTTCCAGTCAATTTTGATATTTCAGAATGAAGATTATCAAGGCTTCCCAGCCCGAGCATTTCAGGTTTTAGATTCACCTTGACCATGACACACCCTTCCCAATTTGTCTTCAGCAGTTCATTTCCACTATTCTGACCTGCGTGAACCAAACTATCTCTCAAAAAGGACATTTTTATTACCAAATTGCTACACCACAGTTATATAATAAAGTGTCCAATTTCACAACCTCAACAGCCAAAGTTCAGCAAGCTTGGGAGAAAGCTCACTGCAAGTGTAAGAACTCATGGCAAAACTCCCTCCACCCCCTGTCTGCTGAAATCCTATTATCAGTTGTATTTCCACTTTTCTTGCCAGGCAGGATGAAGCAGATCCAGTCGCCTCCCTCCTACAGCACCAACATGGCATTTCACGGGAGAGGCCACAACTTGGGGAGCTGCTGAACATTTAAGCTTGGCTGCAGATCAAGTCAACTCCCACTCAGAAATCCAGCGGTTGGATGCTACTGTAGATGTGCATGCACTGCTTTCCTGCCTCCCTTGTAATTACACCCCAAATCTCTCTGTGGAATCTTCTTGGCTAGAAAACTTTTATTACAGCTTGAGGATGTGCTTAAACTAAGTACAGGCACCTCTTTCCCTGCCCCCAAAAAACCAAACCAAACCAAAGAAACAAACAAAAAAAACCTCAAACCAAAAAAATCGAGCCGTTTCTTTCAGATTTCCTCAAATAACTCCCTGCATTTTTATGCACACAGTCAGGGAAAACAACATCCCACCAGCTTCTTGGCTGGGTGGCTAAAGTAGTCCAGGACACAGAGAGGTCTTCTAATTAAAGGTAACTGGGCAACCTACACACTCGAGAAGTTTAACCGTAGATTATTAAAAGTCAGAATGGAACGCAAAGAGTGAAGCAAGGAATCTAATGAGCAGAAGCGCTCTGCATTCAGTGACTATCCCGTAATCACAGTTTCTCTGTGAATTAGCGTCGGGGTATTGGGAAGAGCCCCATCCTCGACCGAGGCACGCGGCTCCCACGGCCACGTGCGCGAGGTGCCAAGCAGATGCCAAATACCAGAGGGTGCCAGGTGCCCCCAGCCACCTGGAAACCGCCGGCCCCCTCCCTGCCGACACCCGCAGTACTTGCTGGTCTCAGAAGTCTCACGGTGGCTTGCTAATAAGCAACAGAGCCACTAAAAGCACGCAGCCCTCCCAGATACACCCCGAACAGGGGCCGTGCGAGCCGGGGTCTATAGAGGGGGCTCCCGGACCCCCAGCTGGCAGGAGGCCAGTCGCACACAGCCCCTGCGCCACGAGCTGGAGCCCGAGCCCCAGCCCGAGCCTTCCCAAAGCAAAGGGAGGAGGACGGGCCCACGGGGCCCAAAGGCAGCTCCCGCCTCTGCCCCAGATTTCCTGTGCGGCGGAGGGCAAGCACTCCAAGCCGTCATTTCCAAACCTAATTTTAGGCTCCTAAATAGAGCAACAAAAAACGGCTCAGTTGTCAGCAGCGCGTCGTTCCCGCGAGTCACAACGACACGGGGGGGACCACGGGTGGGTTGCTCCATTTCGAGGCCCGTTTGCTCACAGGCACGAGACAGCAGGCACCCCCCGTCCCGTGGCTGGAGAGCACAGTGGTCCCCGGCATCGTCAAAAGCCTCCCAGCACCCGAGGGCAGCGCCCAACCTCGTGATGCTGAAGCCTCTTCCAAAGGCAGGCAGGCAAGAAGCTGGAGGACTCGCCTCTCCTCTGAGTTTCCTGCCTCCCCTTTTTATAACAGAGCAATTACATTTGTGTGTTTATGGGAGACAATGCCAAAACGTCATTCCAATTCCCTGATACCATCCGCAAAACCCAAACTCCAATTTAGCCGCTTGCTTTATGCCTTCTGCTCCTACTAAAAAACACAGTTGCTTGCTGGGATAGCAATGGCTTCAGTTTAGCAGGTTGATTAAAATCCCTGCTGCTGCAGACAAAGTAACGGGCAGAAGCAACACGGACTACTGGCAACGAAGAATGCTTATTTTCTAGACAAAGAAAAGAACTCCCTTCCACCCAGACACCACTTCATCACTAAATCTCCATCCAGGACACTGCAGTACGGGGCATAATTAAATTCACTGTCACGGAACGTAATTAAATCTCACACTGGGGAATAAGGCAGCATGGTTATTTCGGACATAGCAACGCTCTGTCTCAAATGTATAATTTCCTGTATTCCATACTTAGAAGCAGCAGCAAACTCCTTTCCTTCTGCCACCGCAGGAGGAAAAAGGGGAGACAACACCTGCCCGGCGGCGGGGGCCGGCGGCACGTCCCCCACCCCGGGCTGGCCTCTGCCACGAGGACGTGCTGCGGGATTTCACGGTGACGGAGGCTCACTGGGCAGCAGATCCAGTCGGGCCTCTGCAGCGACACGGCTCAGCACCTCTGCTTATTGCCTGCCTGTTAGCAACACCAACACGCTTGCGCCTTGATAACCTCCTCCCGCGCCAGGAACGGGACTCACACTGGAAGCTCCGGGGAAATCTGCCCGGTGGAGTTTTCTTCCTCCCCTTTCCTCCTCCGCAGGGCTTGCCTGTCCCAGGAAAGCTGCTGCCGGGAAAGAGGAGCCAACGCCCCAGAGCCCACACGATCCCCCCGTTTCGCCCATTTGTAACCATGCACCCCAAAGGCCCCCGCACCGATCTAACCAGCGGCGCTGTGGCATCCCGTGGCAGAGATCCACGTTCCTCTCTCAGCCTGGACACGCAGCTCCTGCTCTCCAAATGACACTGGGCCCGAGCCGAAAAATCTGCAGAATTTTATCACCCTGCTTTGGAGAATGGTAGTTTCTGCGCAGCAAGAAGCCATACCCGCTAGAGGACAATTGCCCTTTGTCACGGCAACTATAACCAGTCGCTGCAATGAGTAAATGATAGCATTATTGGGTCTCTTTATAAAAATGCTGGGACACATTTAATATCCCCGTGGGCTCCTCCTTCACTGTAACAGCCATCAGCAGCGCAGCCCCCAGCCTCGGTATCGCTAATGGAAGACATTGGTCCTGGGTCTCTAGACTCCAGCAAACTCCCACTATGAAAGCTGCCATGTGTGTGTGTGTGTGTATATATATATATATATATATATGTATATATACACTGGCTTCAGACCAGAGGGTCACAGCAGCAGGGCCAGGTGCCAGGGAAACACCTACTCTACGCCGCTATTCCTGCCCTCCCATCATCAGCACTGACGGGATGCAGTTGGAGCCCTCGATCATAGCAATATGTTAAATACTGGGTTCTGAAGCATTGCCAGAAGAGGAAAGATGCACAGTTTAACTGCTGGGATAAAATACAAGTAGGGGGGAGTTGGATTATAGCTGTGTAAAATTACATAGCTTCAGTGAGCAAGGGTTCGGCTGAACAACTTGAGTTCAGAGAGTGAGGCAAATCA